TGCCCTATCGTCCATCCTAAACCTGAGTTCGTAACACCCCAGGCAGGCTGGCATCCCCCCCCCCCGCACCCTCCTTGCAAAAAAATATATGTGCGGGCGCTCGTTTATCAAAACCATCAGTTGCCAAGATCCCCGTGCAACAGGTGAGACGAAGTGCACACGCGCTCGTCGCCGCGCGCGCGTGATGCAATTATTGCAACAAACTCTAGGTGTCTGGATGATGCCAAAACAGGACGTCACGAACACTTGTTTGAAATAGAAACATGGCGTCGCAACAAGGAGCTTCAAACAAAGCCAGCGCTCGCGCTCTTGCAGATCCTTAGGGGAACTTAAAAACATAGAAAATGCTCATAACTTGTCACCGAACGGGACGATTCGCGCGCGCGCATGTCGAAATCGTTCGAACGCCCCTGCGCGCGCGCTGTCACAAAACCTTGTGCGACCAAAACGGGACGAAGTGCACACACGCGCGCGTCGCCGCGCGCGCATACCGAAATATATCAAACTCCTTAGGTGCTGTACGGATGTCAAAAGCGAGTGCCCCGAAATCCTAAACAAACACATTGTGTTTGCAGCCTCCGTTTCCCCACAAAAACAATTGTGCGCGCGTTTCTTGCCAATTCGTACGTTTACATCAAATTCGGCCAAGAGGGCCTCTCGCGCCGCATGTCGAACTCATCCGAACGCCCATGCGCGTGTGCTGGGGGGGGACACGATCCGTACCAAGTAATACCACGCGGGCCACTCGCGCGCGTCGGCCGCGCGCGCATGTCGATTTTTTCCAAAACTTTCATCACCGACGCGGAAATATCGTCATCGTTATCGGTGGGCGTGGTCAACATCGGCGCCGTCATTGGCCTTGCCGTAGTCGTTGTCACCATCGTCACCAGCATCTCTATTATGGTTTTCGTGTATACCGTTGTCGACGTTGCCATGATTCCGCGCACGCCGCAGTCGCCGACGAAGTGCCCGCTGGGAAGTGCCCAGCGGTCAGCGCCATCGCAGCCGAGTCGGGGCAAACTAGCTGGCCGCTGCGCGCGCGAGCATGCGCGGGCCAGCGCGGCTTCAGAGATGCACCAGCCAATCCCGAACACTCATCGCAATCGCTTCCGCATGGGCTTCTGCAAACCAAGTTGCGGGTGGGTGGGAGGGGCGATTGCGCGAGCACTGGAGTTGACAACTTAGTGCGAAGAGACATGAGATACACAACATAGATCTTCCTTCTTAAAAGAGTATTGGGTTCTCCCCCCCCCCCCGGAATTAACGGTTCTATCTTCGCATTGCTCATCACATGCGATTCTGCCCCATTGTCCATCCGAAATATGAACTCACGCCATCCCAGGCAAACCGGTATCGGCCCCCCCTGCATCCTCTGAAAAAGTACAATGCGCGCATTCGTTGATCACGGATCATCAGCTTTCAAGAATATTTCATTAAACTTGGACGAAATGCACACGCGCGCGGAGTCGCGCGCGCACGCCGGAATCACTCAAAAACCAAGGGTTTCGCAAAGGTTCCAGATGTCCCGAAAACATATGAAAACAAACAGTTTCGCCACAAGAGATCCCCCCCATCACATAAAAAGCTTGCGCTCGCGCTCTTGCGATTTTTTCAGAAGAACCATAGATGGTTCAACCTTGTTACTACTGGCTACTAGACGGGCCTCTCGCGTGCGCTTGCTGGAATCACTCGAACGCCCTTGCGCGCGCTGTCGTAAGAATCCCTTGCAAACCAAGGGACGAAGTGCACGCGCGCGGGCGTCGTCGCGCGCGCGCGTGCCGAAATCGCTCAAAAACCATAGGTTCCGTCGGGATTTCAAGATCTAGTGTCCCGAAAACATGTACAAAGCACGTGAACTTCCAACGCCACGTGGCGAATTCGTAAGCCAACCATAACTTGTCCATCGTGCTCGTGAAATTCGGCTACACGGGCCACACGGGCCCCTCGCGCCGCACGGCGGATTCACTCGAACGCCCTTGCGCGCATTTTGGGGGGCACGATCCGTGTCAAAGAATTCCATGCGGGTTACTCGCGCGTCGGCCGCGCGCGCATGTCGCACTCCCTCCAAAACCTGCATCAACGACGCGAGGGCGCAGTCATCTTTGTCGGCGTCATCAGCATCGGCGCCGTCAGTGGTTTTGCCCTCTTCTTTGTCAGCATCGTCACCAGCATCGCTACCATCATCATCGCGTCGACCGCTGTCGACATTGCCATGATACCGCGCCTGCCGCAGTCGCCGACTCGCACTGAAGCGCCCGCTGGGAAGTGCCCAGCGGTCAGCGCCACCGCGGCCGCGTCGGCCGTGACAAACAATATGGCCGCTGCGCGCACGAGCATGCGCGGGCCAGCGCGGCCGCTGAGATGCACCAGCCGTTTCCAAGCACTCACCGCCATCGCCGCCGCATGGGTTTTGCAAACCAAGTTGCGGGTGGGTGAATGGATAATTGCGCGACCACAATGGAGTGGACGACCCCGTGCGAACAGAAATTGGTTGCACCACACAGATTGCATCATATTTCGCATAGATTGCACAGCATAGGTTGTTGCACCTGTAATTCACTACGTATCCAGTAGTTCACCACAGGGCTTGCACAGCATGGATTGCACACTACAGTTTGCACGACACGGGTTGCACAACATGCGTTGGGCACAACACATAGCACAACACCAATGGCACAGCATCGGATGCACACGACCTATACACAACAGACGTTACACCTTGAATCTGGGACCACTTATACTGCAACACAAAGATTGCACAACATCTGCTGCTAGAGGCAAGGTTGCGGGTCCACGCTGGCTGATACACACACACGCACACAAACATATATAAATATGTATGTAAACATGTGTGTATTCTACATATACATATACATGCACATGTACATGCACCTACACATATACATACACATACACATACATCCTGCCATCCATTCATACATACAGACAGGCAGGCAGGCAGACAGACAGACATACTCCGTCGTTAGTGGGGCAGAATCTCGAGGTGGTTCGCCTCGCGCGCGCGAACCACATAATTCGCGTACACCACAGAGCTGACACACCCAGCGAGCTACATAGAGTACAGCGCCAGCGATACACATATACATATATAAGTATCGAAAGACGGATGCTCTGCGCATCCGCTTCGTATATTTGCACAAGGGCACACGGCCAAGATCAATTGCAGCAGTGCGCCTCTTATGTCTGCGACCAGTGTCTTCAATTTGAAGCCGTGTGTCAGAGGCTCCTCTAACAACCACGACCTCAACGGCGACGCCTCTAACGACTCCAGCGACCACGACGCATCCAGCAACTCGCCAACTCCGCCAGGCCCACCCCAAGCAAGTGAGGACAGCATCGACAGATCCCAACCGACTCAGACACCGACAGGGGGCAGACGATGCCTTATCATGCTCTGACTACATCCGCTGGAGCACCCGCAGAGCTGAGGAACTCATGAACATGCACGACACCCCAGACGTGACACAGATGTATCGCAAAATCGTTTGGCGCTGGACAGCACGTGTAGCCACCCACCCACCCAACAGGTGGACGCCACGAGCACTGAATTCGAACCCAAATGACTTGGACACGAAGCAAAAGGGATATCGGCGAAAAGGCGGCCAGCACACACGGCGGGACGATGATTTGCGGAAGTTTCTACACAATGCGCATCGGCAGATTAACGAAGATAGCATACAACGCGACACCAACGACGACACCCAACCACATCGATACCTCCACCGCGACACCGACGACGTGAGATGGCCCACAGCAGCGGCGAGGACGACACGGTGGAATTCACTCGGGAGCGCCTTCGTCACGCTGATTGTATGATGACACATGCAGCCACATACCCACACTACTGACAGAGCCGACCACCCTACCACAAACACCGACCACCGACGACCACACACCGACTACCGGCGCCCTGCGCCAGCGACAGCACCCAACCTTGTGCAGACCACCAGCGCCGATTCCACCCAGCGACGCGGCAGCACCAACACACGACGACAGCGACTACAAGGATCCCTCCTCTTCCTCATACGTGGCCTACATAACTTGTTAGCTGTATCGCGTGCGTGTATCAACACACGCACACACACACACTACAGCATCTCGAGACGAAGGCCTCACCCACTTGGTCTCACAACGCCGGGACACTTGTCCGAGCTGGTGGTTTTGTTCGTGCACCAAGGGCTCCAGTGCCGAAGAGCGTCCAGAATTTGGGCTGTGGCGATTGGCACCAATTTCTCGTGGATGGAGTTCCGCACAATCCAGGTCAATGGAGGACCAGAAGCTGATGGCTAGGGGTGAACATGCCGAAATCAAATCTACTGCTAAGTGTGTCAGGCTGGCTGCAATACGCGGTACGTGGATTACCCAGTGGCCCGTTTCGCAATACATGTTTTGAGTTGGTTTTCCCAACACGTCCCAATGGAGGGAGGCAGCGACTCCTACAACCTCTAGGCGTGCTTCCATCACTCATGCGATCGCCCGTCCATCAGTCGTTGATCGGGACCGTGACGACCCGTGGGGCCTTCGGATGGGTCGGGCAAAGATCGGCAGGCATCCGGGCTGGACCAGGATGATGGAGTCAGGGAAGCGCGTCTCGATCGCGTGACGCCGCGTGCTTCGGGGTAGATCGGGCCCCAGACGTGTTTCGGCGCTCCCGATTGAAAAAAGCAAAACGGCCTCGGGGCCCCCCCGCGGCAAGGCCTCGCCGCGGTGGGCAGCCGGGCGGCGCCGCGCCGCCTCGAGGCGCAGGAGCGGGAGCGCTGAGCCCCCCGCGCGCGCCGGCCTCGCCGCAGCCGAGCGGGAGCGGCCGCGCCGCGCCGCCTCGCAGGCTGCTATGCCCGCGCACCGCGGCCCGCGCGTCGTGAAGAAGCACGACGGGCGCGTGGGTTTTCGGGCGCACGACGGGCGGGTTTGGGTCGTCGCAGGCCGGGAGCGATCGATCGCCGGGCGGCCCGCCCGGCGGGACGGGGAGCGCCGCCGAGGTGGACAACATGGAGCCAGCCTTGCACCAGAAGCTGAAGATGTGCACCGACGTGGCCAGCGGCATGGACTACCTCCACAGGAGACGCCGCCAAAGGGGGACAGTGGGCGGGATGGCGAAAGCGATGGCGAGCGCAGGGGCGAGCGCGAGGTTTCAGGAGGAACAGGGGGAGGAGGAGGAGGAGGAGGAGGAGGAGGAGGAGGAGGAGGAGGGGAGGAGGAGGGGAGGAGGAGGAGGAGGAGGAGGAGGAGGAGGAGGAGTAGTGAGGAGGAGGAGGAGGAGCAGATGAAGTGTGGCACGTCGCCTCCCTCGCCGCCCGCCCTCCGCCTTTCCCCGCCCTGCAGCCACCCCTTTCGCCCCGCCCCCTCCCTCCCCCCACGTCCCGTCCAGCCCGCTCCACCTCTCTCCCCGCTCTCCCGCCCCTCCCCCTCCTCTCCCCCGCCCTCCTCCTCGTCCTCCTCCTCCTCCTCTCCTCTCCCCTCCTCTCCCCCTCCTCCTCTCCCTCCTCCCCTCTCCTCTCCCCCCCTCCTCTCCTCTCCCTCCCCCTCCGCCTCCTCCTCTCCCCCTCCCCCTCTCCTCTCCCCCTCCTCTCCCCCGCCCTCCTCTCGATCGGGGCTCACTTCGACACCTGGGATGGCGGCCCCCGCGGAGAGGATCCGGCAGCGCGGGGAGGCCGCCCGAGCAGCAGGAGCGGCCTAGGGCCGCATGTGGTTTGCTCTGCCTCGGGGGCCCTCGCGGGGAAGACCTCCCTCACGTCCGCCGCACGGAGCGGGCCTGAGCCTCGCTACCGTCGTGCGGGCACTCTGTTGGGGCCAGGTCGGCGCAGGGGACCCGCGCCCGCCAGAACCGCTGCAGCATAGTTTGGCACCTCCCTCCTCCCTCATCTCCTCCCTCCTGCTCCTGTTCCTGCTCCTGCTCCTCCTCCTCCTCCTCCTCCTCCTCCTCCTCCTCCTCCTCCTCCTCCTCCTCCTCCCCTGTACGCTCGTCTCCTCTCCTCCTCCTCCTCCTCCTCCTCCTCCTCCCTCCTCCTCCTCCTCCTCCTCCTCCTCCTCCTTCCTCCTCCTCCTCCTCCTCCTCCTCCGTTCCCCCTCCTCATCTCATCCTTATCCTCACTCATCTTTCCTCCTGGTCCTCACCCCTCTTTCGTCTCCGTCCTCCGCCTCCTCCTCCCCTCCTCCTCCTCCTCCTCCTCCTCCTCCTCCTCCTCCTCCTCCTCCTCCTCTTCGGCTCTCAGGTTCCCGCCTCCCATCATACACCGCGACCTGAAGTCGCTGAACCTGCTCCTGTCGGAGGCGGTGCGGACCGAGGCGGACCAGGTCGAGGTCAAGGCCAGCCGCTCGGAACATTCCCCTCTACCTACGCAAGGAGGAGAAGGAGGAGAATTCAGACCCCTTCGCGCCGTGAAAAAAACACGGCGGAGTTGTTCTGTTAGTTTCAGTCTCCGGGGGGCCGTCGCCAGGCCCCGGGACCATCAACAAAAAGACTCAGGATGAAAAGCCAGTCCCAGGGATTGGGTCGAGATTTCCAGGGGTCGGCGTTGTGAGCAAAACATGACGTCGGGGTCTTGGGACGACGACGACGACCACGACCACGACCACGACCACGACCACGACCACGACCACGACCGCGACCACGACCACGACCCACGACCCACGACCCACGACCACGACCACGACCATGACCACGACCACGACCACGACCACGACCATGACCACGACCCATGACCACGACCACGACCACGACGACGACGACGACGACGACGACGACGACGACGACGACGACGACGACGCGACGACGACGACGACGACGGCAACGACGAGGACAAAGACGAGGACAAAGACGAGGATGAGGAAGAACATCCCCGTACACCTCACGGGCAAGGAGGTAGGCTGATGCTCAGGGGGTGGTGAGGCATGCTGCAAAGGGAAAAAGGCAGACAATGATCGCGATGGTGGGATCTGAAGGGAGGGCATAGGAAGGACGAAGATGGCTAGAATCGGCGGCGGGTAAGGGGACGAGGGTCGTGGCACGAAAATGGCCAGGATGGCAGTAGCAGGCCGAATGGCAGGTGGCCGCACCGCCCCCCTCTCCTTCCCCCTCTCCTCTTCCCCCTCTCACCCGCCCTCTCTCCCATCCCCGACATCCCCTCCCCCCTCTCCCTCTTGCATCCCTTCCCCCCTGCTTCTCCTTCCCGCTCCTCCCCCTCCCCTTCACTCCAGCCGCGACCCCCGCACCTGACCCGTGTTGGGTCGGGCGTCCGCCGGGGTCGAGGGTGCGGCAACGGGCCGTCTGGAGGAGGAGGAGGAGGAGGAGGAGGAGGAGGAGGAGGAGGAGGAGGAGGAGAAGGAGGGAGGAGGGGAGGAATGAGGGATGGAGGAGGAGGAGGATGGGAGAGCAGGAGGAGGAGGAGGAGGAGGAGGCAGGAGGAGGAGGCGGAGGAGGAGGAGGAGAGAGGGGGGAAGGGGGGGAGGAGGGGAGGAGAAAGGAGGGACGAGGAGGAGGATGAGAGGAGGAGGAGGAGGAGGAGGAGGAGAAGGAGGATCGGCAGGACGGTCTGCGGCAACGTGCTCGGTTCCTCGGCCCGCCCTTGCCCGCCGCGAGCCGGCCACTCCGAGCACTCTGGCTGCCTTCCTCGAGGGCGTCGGCCGCACGTCCGCTGGCCGGGGTGCGGGAGCGGGCCGTCGGATTGGCCGGACGGCCGCCGGGCCACGGGGGCCGAGCTTGCGGCAGCGTGTTCGCTCTTCGGCCGGGCCTTCTCCGCCTCGAGCTGGGCACTCCGGGTGTGCCGACTGCCCCGTTCGAGGATTTCGCCGCCTGTCCGTTGGCGAGGCGGCCGCCTTCACCGAGCCCCAGCAGAGGAGGCGGAGGAGGAGGAGGAGGAGGAGGAGGAGGAGGAGAGCACGGACGCTACGAGCCCCGCTGAAAGCCTGGCTAACGTGAGGAGGAAGAGGAAGACGAGGAGGAGCAGGAGGAGGCAAACTCAAAGAGGACGAGAAGGTATGTTTTGGGCCTACGCAAGGAGAAGGAGGGAGGGAGGAGGAGGGAGGAGGAGTGAGGAGGAAGGAAGGAGGAGGAGGAGGAGGAGGGTGGGGTGGAGGATGATGGTCTCTCTTCTCTATCATCTCTCTCTGTCCATATTCGCGTGTCCCCGGGCCCCTTCGAAGGAAACTCCCTTCGCCCCTCTTCTCCGAAGGCCGCCCCCGCGAGAGGGACGGCCTTCGGAGAAGGCGCCAGGTGGGGGGGGGGCCTTCGAAGAAGGCCGAGGGGTGCGGGGCTTCGTAGAAGCAGGGCCCTTCGAAGAAGGGAAGGTCAGGGGAGGGGGGGGGAGCTTCGTAGAAGGCGGGTGGGGGGGGCGGTCGTAGAAGGCCCGGTGGGGGGGGGGGGCTTCGTAGAAGGCCGAGGGGGGGGGGTGGGGGGGGGGTGGGGGGGGGGGGGGGGGGGGGGGGGGGGGGGGGGGGGGGGGGGGGGGGGGGGGGGGTGTGGGGGGGGGGGGGGGGGGGGGGGGGGGGGGGGGGGGGGGGGGGGGGGGCTGCGCAGAAGGCCGAGGAGGAGGGCCGAGAGGGGGGGCGTCGCAGAAGGCAGGGGCCCTGTCAACCACGGCCAGGAGCTCTGGCTCAGCGTGCCGCTCCGCCGGCTCCGGCCCGGCACGCCTCGGCGCGACGCGCTGTCCACGCCCCCGCTCCCCGGCGGCAGCGCCCCGAGCTCGTCCCGGCCTCCCGCCCCGCGGAGCGGGGCGACACGCTCCCCCCTTCCCGCTCAACCCTCCTCCTTGTCCTCCTCCTCCTCCTCCTCCTCCTCCTCCTCCTCCTCCTCCTCCTCCTCCTCCTCCTCCTCCTCCTCCTCCTCCTCGGTCCGCTCGCGGGGCGCAGCGTGTCGCCAGGGGCCGCCGCCGCGACCCGCGGAGCACGGGGTTCCCGACGGCAGACGGCCCTTTGGCGCCTCCAGGCAGGCGCCTTGGAAGCCGGGGGGCGCTTCTGAGCATCCCCGAGCGCGTTCCGCTGCTCGCAGAGTGCCTGCTCGCGAGCGTGCGACGAGCACACGTCCGCTTCGACGTAGTGTGTCGTGAATCCCCCCGCGTCGGATCCCGGCCTCTTGCGAGTAGTCACTTCGCGAGTAGTGGAGCGCGCCTGTCTGAAGAAGCGCCCTTCCTGTCGGGTGGGTGTCTAGGAGGGGTGACCTAAAGAGGGGGTGACGAAAGGGCCCCTTGAGGGCCCTTTTTTTCACCCCTCCTTCAGGCCCCCCGCGTCGTCCTTCCTTCTCTCTCATTCCTCCTTCCCTCCCCCCGTGTCGTCTGATGATTACCCGGAAGGGGTTCTTGACGTGAGATGTTTATCATGTGTTACAGGGGTGAGTCTGTGAAAGCCTGATGGGATTTGTTCGACATCTCCTTGCTGATGGAATGTTCTCGTGTTTCGCACGGCCCCTCACTGTTTCACCTTTTTGCCAATGCACTTTCGATGTGCACGGCTTCTCTCTCTCTCTCTCTCTCTCTTTAGGCCACCCCCCTTACCACCCGCCCGATCCTTCTCAGGAGCCACCACCCCTTCTTGCAAGGCCGCCCCCGCTCGCGCCACGGCCCTGCACTCGCCGCCTAGGACGGACCCTGTCCTGCTTCACTCCCCCCCCCTCCTCCTCCTCCTCCTCCTCCTCCTCCTCCTCCTTCTCCTCATCCTCCTCCTCCTCCATCCTCCTCCTCCTCTCCTCCTCCTCCTCCTCCTCCTCATCCTCCTCCCCTCCTCCTCTCCTCCTCCTCCTCCTCCTCCTCCTCCTCCTCCTCCTCCCTCCTCCTCCTACCCTCCTCCTCCGCCTCCTCCTCCTCCTCCCTCCTCCTCCTCCTCCTCCTCCTTCTCTTCTCCTCCTCCTCCTCCTCCTCCTCCTCCTCCTCCTCCTCCTCCTCCTCCTCCTCGCCCCTCCTCCTCTTTTTCTTCCCCCTCCCCCTGCGGCCGCCTGCATGGAGGATGCGAGCGGGGAAATCCGGAGATCCGACGTTCGGGAGCCTTGAGGCTGGGTCAATGCAAACGGGGGTCAAACAGAGCGCCCGACCTTGCAGGATCCTGCAGGGCCAGGGTCGCACTGTCCCGGGCTTGGGTGCAGGATCCTGCAGGATCGTCCAGGATCCTTCGCATTGACCCGGGCTTGGGCGCAGGATCTTGCAGGATCTTGCAGGATCTTGCAGGATTCGGCAAGGCCTGACTGACCGGGGTCTGGACTGACCCAGGGCAGATGATCCCCGAGACGTTGCGAAAGAGATGCAGCATCAAGAAAAAAACACGTCCAGCGTCTTAGACTCCGCCTCCCTGCGGCACCGCGCGAGCGGGATCGATCCGTGATGGCCCCGACGTCCGAGATGGGGCGGAAACGCCCCGTGCGAGGAGCATGGCAAAAAGCCTAGATCTCACAGAAGCCCTCTCTACCCAGACCCCCATCGCGTCGTGACAAAAATAATGACGACGGCTTGTCGCTATTTTCGGCGCCTGGGGACCCTTTGCCAGGCCTCGGGGCCGTCAAAAAAGCGGCGGACCTCCGCCACATGTTTTTTTTGTCGTACTGGGTGAAAGGCACGCGGGACGCGCCCAGCCGAATGCGCCCCGTCGGGATGCGGCCTATGATCTCCTCGTGTGTGGGGGGGGGGCTCTGCTGCGGGAGGGCGCTCAGCGAACTGGGGATCCGGCCGAGCAACACCCCCAGCGCCGACGTGCGCCACACCACCCGTGATCAAAAAACACCCTGTGGACAGGGATGGCGCGCAGCGATATCCGAGGATAAGCTTTTGAGCCAGTTTACCCACGGACCTGATCTATTTTCCCTCTCTCTCTCTCTCTTTCTTTCTTTCTCTCTCTCTCTCTCTCTCCTTCTTCCTCTCCCGCAAGCTCCAAAGTAAACAAACGTAAAATATGATAGTGGCTATATTGGGTCGCACTCGGAACCAAAAGGCGGATGAGGGGAAGGGGGGAAGGGGGCGGGTAGATGATAGGGGCGGGGAGGATATGAGGAGAGGAAGGGGATGAGAGAGGGGACAGGATGGATAGACGGAGGAGGAGGAGGATGAGAGAGCGGACAGGATGGATAGAGGGAGCCATGAGGGAGAGAGGGGTGAGGAGAGAGGAGGACATCGAAGGGACATCGCATTTGCGATCCCCCATCATGGCTCCCTCTTGGCTCCCTCGTAAGGAGGAGGAAACATAATAAGGAATAATGATGATAATGAGAAGGATAATGAAAGCAATGGGAATGATGAGAATGGGGAGAGGGATGAGGATGAGAATGAGGAGGAGAAAGGGGAAGGAAGAGAGAAGACGAAATGTATGATCATAGGGGGCGCGCGCACATATAGATGCGTATGCATATGCATGCGTACATACATAAACATGTACATACATACACACAGGCCTGCAAACGTACATACATACGTACATGCACACACACACATACATACATGCATACAGCAACATATGCATACATGTGCATGCATACATATATATATATATATATATCCATACATACGTACAAACATACATGCATACACAGAAAGCTGCATGGGCGCTTCGCGCCTTGCATCTGGGTCCCTGAAGTGTGGCATGCAGGCAGAATGGTAGGTAGATAACACATACGATGTGCGATCATTTATGGTTGTATGTTCTGGCATATTCGTTACACGAATGCCAGCATGTATCGTTACTTCATGCTTCTTCATGTTCCTCATCGCTTCACCCTGCCAGTATCTTCCTGTCCTTTCTCAGCTCCTTCTTGGAGGAACTTTTGGGGACTTCATCAAAGTGTTTATAAGGGCCTTGCTTAGGGGGGGCCTTGGGGGGGCCTCCTGGGGGCCTCTTGGGGCTTCCTCGGGCCGCCCTGCTTCCAACCACGGCATCCTTGAACGATCGGGCCACGATTTGCAGAGCTTAGGGGTGCGTCTTGGGGCCATTTGGGGCCGTCATGTGGCTCTCTTCGAACCATCTTGGGGCCCTGTGGGGCCGTTTGGGGGCTCTCCTGGACTACCTCGAAGCCCTTTTGGGTAGGTTTTGGGTGATGCGCGGGCCTCCTGGGCGGGTTCGGACGCCCCCAAAAAACATGTCCAAAGTCATGCACAACCAATGGGATCCCATAGCTATTCGCGGTTCGAAGGCCTCTTGGGGGTCTTCTTTAGGTTGTCTTCGGGCGTCTGGTGGGTGTCTGGAGCCCCGCGGGGCTCTCGCGGGGCCGTTCGGCCGCCCTCCTGGTCGATTCGGGCTTGGTGCTCAGGCCCAGCAGAGGCTTCCAGGAGCCTCGGAAAGCACGGGGGACTTTCTGCAGGGGCGTCCACGGGCCCCTGGGCCACGGATCTGGGGGTCCTGTCTTGGTGGCGGTCGCAGCCCCCCGATAGTAATATCAAAAAGTAGATGTGTCGGAGTACGCTTAAGTCGGGCCTGTCCCTCTACAGGGGGAATATTCAAACATAGCCAAAAAATAGTCTGGGGACTATTTTTTGTCAATTGTTGGGCATTGCTGGAGCATTTGTGGAGTATTGTTTTTGTCGTCCAAAATCCCCCTGTAGGGGGACAGGCCCGACTTAAGAGTAGGGCGGGTGTGGTGCCGCGGTCCCTTGTGGGGGACCTTGGGGGGCTTTGGACGGCTCCGAGGGCTTCTGGACACGCCAGCCCGAAGAGGCCCCCTGAGCCGGCCCAAGTCACCCACGAATCCGTCTGGGCCGCCGTGGCGGGTTCGAAGACGCCCAGGGACAGCCCATCATTGCATCAACACGGTTCCGGGAGCCTCGCAGACGACCCGAGAAGGCCCCCGAAGAGTGCGCCAAGAGGCACAAATCATTGTGTCCAAGTTTTGGAAGAAGTTTAGCGTTCTCTTCCCCTCGACCACCCAAGACGGCCCAAGAGGCCTCCAAGATCGCCCCAAGACGGCCCGCAGAGCCCGCCATCGCCATTTTGGCTCAAGAACGTTGGGCTCTACTTGGGTCTGAGCAAGTCTAGGACACCTTACAACCTCTGACTGGCTCCCTTGATTCGCAGATGGCGCGTTTCTTGGTCATGGCCAGCCTGGTCGGGGCCCGCGTCGCCGCCGGCCCCGCCGACTCCACCATGATGCAGCTTGGGCTGATGGTGGACACGGGGCAACGCCTCGCAGCAGAGCGTGTCTACGCTGACCTCCGTGGTGCTCCACATGAACACCAGCCAGCAGAAAGGACGACGCCAGGTCGAGGCGGCTGACCACATGGTGAAGGGGACATTTTGGAGCCAGGTGGGGCAGGACATCGATGGCGAAGCTGCAGGCGATTGGAGTGGCTTTTCGGTGTCGCTGAGCAGCGACGGCAGCCGCGTGGCCATCGGAGCACCTTATAACGACGGTGCCGGGACAAATTCTGGTCACGTTCGCGTCTTCGAGCTCTCGGGCAACACTTGGAGCCAGGTGGGGCAGGACATCGATGGCGAAGCCCAAGGCGATTACAGTGACGTGGTGTCGCTGAGCAGCGACGGCAGCCGCGTGGCCATTGGAGCAGTTTATAACGACGGTGCCGGGGCAGAATCTGGTCACGTTCGCGTCTTCGAGCTCTCGGGCAACACTTGGAGCCAGGTGGGGCAGGACATCGATGGCGAAGCTTCAGACGATCACAGTGGCAATTCGGTGTCGCTGAGCAGCGACGGCAGCCGCGTGGCCATTGGAGCACCTTATAACGGCGGTGCTGGGGCAAATTCTGGTCACGTTCGCGTCTTCGAGCTCTCGGGCAACACTTGGAGCCAGGTGGGGCAGGACATCGATGGCGAAGCTTCAGACGATCAGAGTGGCTTTTCGGTGTCGCTGAGCAGCGACGGCAGCCGCGTGGCCATTGGAGCCTTTTATAACGACGGTGCCAGGGCAGATTCTGGTCACGTTCGCGTCTTCGAGCTCTCGGGCAATACTTGGAGCCAGGTGGGGCAGGACATCGATGGCGAAGCTGCAGGCGATCAGAGTGGCTTTTCGGTGTCGCTGAGCAGCGACGGCAGCCGCGTGGCCATTTGAGCACCTTATAACGGCGGTGCCAGGGCAAATTCTGGTCACGTTCGCGTCTTCGAGCTCTCGGGCAACACTTGGAGCCAGGTGGGGCAGGACATCGATGGCGAAGCCCAAGGCGATTACAGTGACGTGGTGTCGCTGAGCAGCGACGGCAGCCGCGTGGCCATTGGAGCAGTTTATAACGACGGTGCCGGGGCAGAATCTGGTCACGTTCGCGTCTTCGAGCTCTCGGGCAATATTTGGAGCCAGGTAGGGCAGGACATCGATGGCGAAGCTTCAGACGATCACAGTGGCTTTTCGGTGTCGCTGAGCAGCGACGGCAGAAGCGTGGCCATCGGAGCACCTTATAACGACGGTGCCGGGACAAATTCTGGTCACGTTCGCGTCTTCGAGCTCTCGGGCAATACTTGGAGCCAGGTGGGGCAGGACATCGACGGCGAAGCTTCAGCCGATCAAAGTGGCTTTTCGGTGTCGCTGAGCAGCGACGGCAGCCGCGTGGCCATTGGAGCACCTTGGATTTGGGCAAATCCTGGTCACGCGCGCGTCTTCGGGACCGAGCCGGCCAGCCCAGCGGACAGCCCCACGCCGACTCCGACGGCGCCCCCGACGTCCAGTCCGACGCCATCGCCGACTGAGGCCCCGACGAGCAGCCCGACCTCCAGTCCGACCGCGTCCCCGACGACCAGGCCGACGTCTGCACCAGCGGCACCGCCCATCAACAGCGGCCCAATGGTCAAGGACATCGGCGACCCGCATCTCGCCAACACGCTCGGCCAGAAGTTTGACCTGCTTCAGGCTGGGTACCACACTTTGGTCCAAATCCCCAGGTGGCAGCGGCATCGGACTAATTTCCTCGTGGAGGCGAGGGCGAGTCGCGCTGGGCGTGGGTGCGCTGATCTGTATTTTACGGAGATCAACATCAGCGGCACGTGGGCTCGTGGTCACAGGGCAACGGGCTTGCGTTGGGACGCCGAGGCTACGAGGCTGGCCAAACCAGCATGGATGACCTTCCACAATGAGGTCAAGGTCAAAACTGTGCATGGCCGCACAGCCTAGAACACGAAATACCTCAACATCGTCATGAAGTGGCTGCACAAGACAAAGGTCCCAGTGGGTGGCCTCCTCGGAGGGGACGACCACACGGCGGCCACCACCCCAGACAAGGGTTGCAAACACATCATCACGCTGTGAAGCACTTCGAGAACGATGTCGAGGCGATGCTGCGAACGTCTCATTTTTGGAGGATATCCCCAGCGAAATTATAATTTTCTGCCTTGCTCCTTTTTTCGGTCTGCCGCGCCCCTCCCGATTCTCTGAGGATGTCCCGAGCGAAATCGCCATTGTTATATGAGAGGTAGTGAAGCAGCTTTTCCGACATCTCATTTTCTCGAGGACGTCTCGAGCGAAACGCACATTTTCCCAGACGACGAAATTTCGCGGTCATCAGCTTTTCGAGGATGTCTCGAGCGAAACGCTTGTTCTTGTTAAACGCGATGTCGCGAAGAGCTCAATTTTGTGAGGACTGTTTGGGGGAACCTGACCGGACAAGAACGGGAAGCGTCGCCCAGTCCACCAAGCATGTGGGATATGCTCTGCTGATGTTACGCCGCACAGGTATGCCGTGGCGCGCGTGTCGGCGTGCGTGCGGGGGGTGTTTTGTTGTGCTCCTGTGTGTTTTGCCGTGCTCCTGTTCTGCCGTGCTTCTGTGGTCTGTCGTGCCTCCGTGTGCCCTGTGTGTTCTGCCGTGCCCCTGTATTCTGCCGCGCGGATCGTCGCGGCGGTCGTTCTGGGCGCGCGCGGCAGAAAACGATCAGGGGCACGGCAGAATAGGCCCCAAGAGCGAAGGAGCACGGCAGAACAAGACCAGGAACACGGCAGAATAGACCCCAAGAGCAAAGAAGCACGGCAGAATAGACCCCAAGAGCGAAAGAGCACCGCGGAAAAAAGACCAGGAGCACGGCAGAATACACCCCGAGAGCTAAGGAGCAGGCAGAAAAAGACCGCAAGGCAGAATAGGCCCCAAGAGCGAAGGAGCACGGCAGAAAAACACCAGGAGCACGGCAGAATAGACCCCAGGAGCCAAGGAGCAGGGCTGAATACGCCCCGAGTGCGAAGGAGCACGGCAGAGAAAGACCAGGAGCGCAGCAGAATAGACCCCGAAAGCTAAGGAGCACGGCAGAAAAAAGATTAGGAGCACGGCAGAATAGGCCCCGAGAGCGGAGGAGCACGTCGGGCGTGTTGTGCTCGCGCGCGCCCGGAGTGCCGCGCCTGGCCTCGGCCAGGAGTGCGGCGCCGGCCTCCTGCTTGGTGGAGCCCCTGTCGCGGAAGGCGGCGGGCGGCTGACCTCACGCGCAGCGTAATGCCGTGCTCATACTTGATCCTTCCATCTTGGAGCCCTTCCTTCTGGGGATTCGCTTGCCCTCCCTGGTGCAGTCTTGGGCGCCACTGGAGGCCCCAAGAGCTTCCTGGGCGCTCCAAAAGGCAACGGGAACGGTCCGGGAACGAGTCCGATTCGCCTCCCTCCCCTCTAATTTCTCGAATCTGCAATTTTCGGCCCGGCGGGATGGAAATAGAGGAGAGAGTTTCACGCGCCAGGAGACCCCGAAGGGGTCGGAGGATCGGCGCCGAGTTCGGCGCGAGTAGGTGCCTGTCTGGATTCGCTTGGTCTGCCGCGGCGAGTCCTTCACTCCTGCGTAAAAAAATCCCGCGTGCGTGAATACGTTTCAGACGTGCCACGGTGTTTCGCACAGCAATGCATGTTGTACCACAACCCTAGGGTTCCACTCTGCCCTTTTCCACGGCCCACCCAAACCCATGCCCCCACCGCAGTCCACATCCCTCGGCTCCCACTGTCTCTCTCTGCCTGTGGCTTGCAGCCACCATGTTGTGACGCTTTGGCCGCAAGATGGAACTCGTGGTCGCCGCTCTCCAGCTGCCCGCGGCAAATTAGGCCTACCTGGGTCGTCACAGGGGTTGCTCGGGGTCCTCTCGGGTCGTCTCGGGGCCCTCTTGGGCCGTGTCGGGGCAATCTTGGGCTATCGTGGGCCCTGCTGGGATGTCTGGGTATTTGGGGCCGTCTTGGGGCCCTCCTTGAGCTCTCTTGGGCTGTCCTGGGGCCTTCTTTGGCAATCCTTGGCTTCGCCCGAGGCTCTCTCTCTTGGGCTGTCCTGGGGCCTTCTTGGGCAGTATCGGGCTCTCTTGGGGTCCTCTTTGAGGCCGTCGTGAGCTGGAGGGCCGGGGTGGGGCAAAGTATTAATTATTCACTGCGTGGGGATCCCCATATGTGCATCTCCTTGCTGGCGCTCCCTTGGTGGTGGGACTCGGTGAGGACGAATCTGGATTTAAGTGTGACTGAGCTGCCTCTCTCTCTGCTCTCTCTGCTCTCTCTGTCTCTCTCTCTCTCTCTGCCCTCTCTCTGTCTCTGCCTCTCTTTCCCTGCCTCTCTCTCTCTCTGCCTCTCTCTCTGCCTCTGTCTCTCTGCCTCTCTCTCTCTCTGCCTCTCTCTCTGTGCCTCTCTCTCTCTGCCTCTATCTCTGCCTCTCTCTCTCTCTCTCTCTCTCTCTCTCTTCTCTCTATTCTCTCTCTGCTCTCTCCTCTCTCTCTCACTCTCCCTCTCTCTCTCTCTCGCTCTCTCTCTCTTCTCTTCTCTTCTCTTCTCTTCTCTCTCTCTCTATCTCTCTCTCTCTCTTTCTCTCTCTATCTCTCTCTCTCTCTTCTCTCTCTCTCTCTTTCGCTCTCTCGCTCTCTCTTGCTCTCTCTCGCTCTCTGTCGCTCTCTCTCGCTCTCTCTCTCTCTCTCTCTCTCGCTCTCACTCGCTCTCTCTCGCTCTCTCTCGCTCTCCCTCGCTCTCTCCCGCTATCTCTCTCTCTCTCTGCTCTCTCTCTCTCTCTCGCTCTCTCCCGCTCTCTCTCTCTCTCTCTCTCTCTCTCTCTCTCTCTCTCTCTCTCTCTCTCTCTTCTCTCTTCTCTCTTCTCTCTTCTCTCTTCTCTCTTCTCTCTTCTCTCTTCTCTCTTCTCTCTTCTCTCTTCTCTCTTCTCTCTCTTCTCTCTCCTCTCTCCTCTCTCCTCTCTCCTCTCTTCTCTCTCTCTTCTCTCTCTCTCTCTTCTCTCCCCCCCCCCCCCCCTCTCTTCTCTCTCCAACTTTCTCTCTCTTCTCTCTCTCCTCTCTCTCTCTCTCTCTTCGCTCTCTCTTATAATATATCTAAGCTCTTTCTCTCTCTCTCTCTCTCTCTCTCTCTCTCTTCTCTCTTCTTCTCGGCCCCCTTTCATTCTCTGCCGCAGATGCGGCCTCTCCTCTCCTCTCTCAACTCTCTTCTCTGCGTCCTCTCTCTCTCTCTTCTCTCTTCTTCTCTTCTCCTCTTTCTCTCGCCTGTCCTCTCCCTCTCAACTCCCCCTCTCTCTCTCTCTATATCTCCGCTCTCTCTCCTCCTCTCTCTCTCTCTCCCGCTCCTCTCCCTCCTCGCTCTCTCTCTCTCTCTCTCTCTCGTCCGGGCTCGTGAGATCAGCCAGGGTGGCTCCCCCTTGGGGCTCCCAATGGATGCCCCTGGCAGCGTTTTGTGACCATGAGGCTCTCAAGAGATACATGTTGGGGGCGCCAAACGGCAATTCTAGCTGAGACGTCCCACCAAAATCGGCGCGAACGGGCTCGTGAGATCAGCCAGGGTGGCCCCCCCCTTGGGGCTCCCAAATGATGCCCCTGGCAGCGTTTTGCGACCATGAGCCCCTCAAGAGATACATGTTCGGGGCGCCAAACGGCAATTCTAGCTGAGACGTCCCACCAACATCGGCGCGAACGGGCTCGTGAGATCAGCCAGGGTGGCTCCCCCTTGGGGCTCCCAAATGATGCCCCTGGCAGCGTTTTGTGACCATGAGGCTCTCAAGAGATACATGTTGGGGAGGCCAAACGGCAATTCTAGCTGAGGCGTCCCACCAAAATCGGCGCGAACGGGCTCGTGAGATCAGCCAAGGTGGCTCCCCCTTGGGGCTCCCAAATGATGCCCCTGGCAGCGTTTTGTGACCATGAGGCTCTCAAGAGAGACATGTTGGGGAGGCCAAACGGCAATTCTTATCTGAGAACGTCCCACCAAAATCGGCGCGGAACGGGCTCGTGTGAGATCAGCCAGGTGGGCTCCCCCTTGGGGCTCCCAAATGATGCCCCTGGCAGCGTTTTTGTGAACCATGAGCTCTCAAGAGATACAATGCTGGGGGCGCCAAGCTGCAATTCTAGCTATACGTCCCACCAATTATCGCGACGAACAGGGCTCGTGGGTCTCGCCCAGGTGGCGTCCCCCTTGGGGCTCCCAAATGATGCCCCTGGCAGCGTTTTGTGATCATGATAGAGTGTGAGGTGTGAGCTTAACTTAAGCATCCACATCTTGAATCTCTTCTTATCTCCCTGTGCTATCTTACTTATCTTGTTATTGTCTATTATCTTGTCTTGTCTTATCTGGTGATTATCATTTGGAGGAGGGAGGCGCGAGCGGGAGGAAGGAGGAAGGAGGAGCAGTGGGAGGCGTCAGAGTAATAACAAGAACCCCAATCCTTAGGATATGGGGAAAAAACGTGAAATATGCCTTCGGCTTTTCATTGCTGTTGGGCTTGTCAGAGGGTCTCTTTGGCGTCGTCGAAGCCCCTTGGGGCTTCTTGGGCGGCTCTTGTAGTCTTCTTGGGAGCTATTGGGTCCCGCTTGAGGCGATATATCGGGCCGTCTTGGCGACCTCGGCGGCCTTCCTGGGCCGTCTGGTCAGCCCCGGAGAGCCGGAGAGCCCTGGAAGGCGCCAGGGGGGCATCGGGGCGACCGAGGGGCCTCTGGGAGGTATGGTTGCCGCGCGCGCTGCTTGAACCTCTGGACACAAAAAATTATCCTGGCGAAAGACCCAACCATAAGCAATTGTTGGTAACGCGTTGCGGGTGCCGCTTTCGGTGGGGCTCCATATGGGGCCACGAAGCGCTGCCTTGGATGGGGGAACCGCATGCGGACTGCGCCACCGGGGCGGGCCTTCGGTGGAGCTCCCTATGGGGCTACGAAACGCTGCCCTGGGTGGGGGAACCGCATGC